CACCCAACATCAAATCATCACCAGTATAATTGAAATGCAATGAGAGATTCTGCAGGTCACTTGCAACATGATGGGATGCCCCTGAATCAATTAACCAATTTGGATTTCCACTTTCTCCTACACCAAGCATGTTTGCATTCGGTTGTGGAGTATATGTATTCGGACGTGAGGCTACACTATTAGATCTAAAAATATTTAGCCAAGGAAAGGCCACTTCGAGTTTACGACATTGCCTGAATACATCACCAGGCATATCACAATATTGGAAGTTCGATCAATTGCCGTGTTTTCCATTGGAGCGATGATTGCCTTGTTGAGTGGTGCCTTTATTAGATCCAATATTAGACCTATTGTTTCGAGAGTTGGAAGAGTTGGTCTTGGCCGCAAAATTGGAAGTCAATGGAAAAGTAGGAGGAGTGGGATCTCGTTGGAGTTGTTGCTCATAGTCACACAACTTTTCATAAAGTTCATCAAAATGCAATCTCGAGTTCGAATATAATTGGAAATACCTTTGTATTCCGATGGCAAGCCATTAAGAACATAAAGAGTGAGTTCATCGAGAGTAATAACAACTCCAGTAGAATTAAGAGTAGTCACGAGTTGTTTGATATGTTGAAGATAAGAAGACATACTCTGAGTACCCTAGGTGGCATGGGTAAGAGAGTCCTTGAGACTGAGAATCTGTGCACGCGATGGGTTCACATATATCCTACATAGAGTAGTCCAAACATCATAAGAAGTTTCAGCAGTGTTGACCAAAGAGACAACTTCGGTAGACAGACTAGCAATAAGCACACTTCGTAGCAATTGATCTTGGAGATACCATAGTTCATTGTGCAGATGATACATAGTGAGTTGATCAGTAATGTTATGTGTAAGGACAACAACAATGAAAACTGAACGCCATGAAGAGTACCTAGTTTGATAATTGGTAGAGGTAAGTTTAATATGAGTAGTCTGAGAGGCTGGAAAGGGAATGGAACTAAGCTCTGGTTGGTTGTTTTGGATAGTTGAGGGAATTATAGTTGGGGTGTATGGATTAATGAAAGTGGGTACTGGATAAATTTGAGGAACATAGGCCAATGGTTGAGGGTGAGACTAAGATCCAGCTATATTTGTGAAAGATGGTAAGATCCTATTGAGAAGGGTGTAGTATTTCTTATGGAATTATAGCTTGGAATTGTTGGTAAAATATGAGGAGAGAAAGTTGAAGGTACCATAATAGTGTATGGATGAGAAATATTTGTGTATGATGGTTCCATAAGATCAGAAGAGGCAGCGGAAGATTGAATTTCAGAGAAAGCGTTTATTGAGGAGAAATGATTGGTCGAGGCAAAAGACATGACGATGTGAGGTGTTGAAGTGGATGTGTTTGGCACGACTGAAGAGGAAGAGTGAGTAGGATTGGTCTCTTCCATGAGATTGTTTGAGGAGAAAAAAAAGTGCAGGATAAAGAGAGCATTTTTGGTGTTAAGCTTCGATACCACAAAGTAGTAGCACTGAAAGTGAATGCTTGTCCATCTTATTGATAAAAATTATCCATACATATATACATGATGGTCTTGATGGCCAAGAAAGGAATAAAGATATAAAAGGTATCTAAATTAGTAAGAATCAATTAAATATCCTATTACCTTTAAAGATATAATACAGTCAATTTACTATATTTGATAGAGAGAAATCAGTCATGATATTTTCTAAGAATATATACATAGTATATTATTTTTTATGAACAATTTTTAAGTATCATATATATATATTCTTTAAAATTTATTTAAGAAATAAAATAGGACAAAATATAAAGTCAACAAAAGGAAATTTTTTTCATAATTATATATAAGCATATTGGATCACCTAATTATTGATAAAATAAGCTGGAAAATAGGAAGATAATGGTGCTAGTTGGTCAAGATGAAAGGTGTTTTGTGAGACTATATGACATTATGAAACTAAGCATAATTGGAGTTCTGATATAACAATTGTAAGATTCAAAACTGCACGAAGATAATTTATTTTTGTTTGAATGAATTGTTGTTTTCTTTTTTCCGTTTGAATGAAGGGATTTATTGGTTCATTAATATACAACCAAACAAAACCCAATAGAAATCAATAACAACCATATCGATTAAGTTGGTTTTTTATTTAAATAATTATTTACCGATTAAATTAATTTAATTTGAATTTTATCTAATAACCGATACAAACCAACTCCAAGAACACCCTTATTAATATATATTTGATTTTTTACCTTGTAATAGCCCGACCCATATTTCCCTGCCCTTGACCCCTAATTAAAAAAAAAAAGAGATAGAGGGAGTGAAAATATCATAATTCATATATATATATATATATATATATACACACACTCCTTCCATCCCATTTTATATGAGTTAATTTGACTTAAGATGGATTTCAAAAAAAAAAAAAGGAAGACTTTTGAAACTTAGAGTTTAAAATAAGTAACATACATTTTCGTTGTTATAAATCATTTCATTAAAGATAAAAGTAAATACTTAATAATCAAATTGCTACTTAATATAAAGGGATAAGGCACAAGTACCCCCCTAGACTATGATCGAAATCTTAGAGACACACCTAAACTTAACTAGGGTCCTATTACCCCCCTCAACTCATTTTTTTTGTATTTTTGTGTACCTTTTGTGCTGATGTGGTACCTTCAACCACCCAAGTTGGTTGTGTTTGTACACACTTGCCTGCCACATGTGTAATTATTATTATATTATTTTTTAAAAAAATAAATTATTTTAAATTTCTATGTTTTAACAAAAAAAATATTTTTTTATTTTTTTAAAAAAAATATTCTTATTTTCTTTAGCTTGTATTTAAATTAAGTTAATATATATTTTTTTACCTTGTATCGAAACTTTTTTTTACCTTCATTCATTATTTTTCTATTGATTTTATTTTCTTTGTCTTTCATTTTGATTTGATTTCAAATTTATTCCAAACGTCTTGTATTTAAAATAAGTTATTTTAAACAATATAAAAATATGTGAAGAAAATCAAATAAAACATAAAAAATTAAAACATTAAAATTAAAGGACACTTTTAAATTATTTTTTAAAAAAAAATACATAATTTTTAAAATATAATTAAAAGATAAAAAAAATTAATTAAACAAAAGTTTAAAGTGAAAAGAAATCAAAAAATGACATGTGTCCAATTTGTACATTCATCACTTGCCTTCAAGAGAGTGTGCACACTCTCTACGCCATGTCAGCGTTTGTGGTGTATTTATTCCATTTTAAATTAGTTTAGGGGGGAGGGTAATATGACCATATTTAAGCTTATGTGTGTCTCTGAGATTTCAGTCATAAATTATTGGTGGCAAATGGCGGGTTGGGTCAAATTTGAGCGGGTTGAAAATGGATCAACATAAAATGGGTAAAAATTCAACCCGCCCATATTTGATATGGGTAAAATTGATTGGGTAACAAATGGGTTGGAAAAAAAATACTAGTTTACCCATATTTTCATGATTGAATAGTACTCTACTTAAGAATTCAACATGGAGGAAATATTTTAGTCTTTCTTTTAGATGAAAAATGTTGAAAATGCTTCATTTAGTTTTATTGTTTCATAAAAGTAAAAAAAAATCCTAACTTTTCAATATAAAATAAATTTACGTAGTAACAAGGGAAAAATATTTTTAATTTCAAAGTAAATGAATAGTTGCATTTTAAGACTAAAACATGCTTAATGCACTTTAAGCAATGTCAATACTAATACATGATTTGCTTATATTTACACTATAATTTATTATCCAATATAAAATTAAAACAAAAAAATATATAATTATAATTAACAAAAGAAATGTACATTTAAAATATATATTTTTGGAGGGCCAAAAACTTCACATTTTCAATGATAGAAAAAAATAATTAGTTATATAGAAGAACATAAAAAGGAGGAGAAGTTACAATTTTGTAGTGATATCATGAATTTTGAATGAATAAAAGTTAGAAGCTTAACCCATTTGACTAATTCATATTTTACCCATATTTTTATGGGTTGAATATGGATATCAGCCCACATTTTACCCATGTCAAAAGTCACTCACCCAACCCATTAAAATATGGGCGGGTTGGACGGGTTATCAAAATATGGGCTCATTTTGTCGGCACTAGACTCATAATCTAAGGGGGTACTTGTGCATTATCCCTAATATAAAAATGTAATGATTATTTTTTAAAAGAGAAAGTTTCACAAATAGCCACTATAATAAATTTAATTATGCTCCTAGTTATAGTTTGCATATTTACGGGTTGTAGCTATAGTTTAAGTTGTCTCGTATGTATAATTCGCGAGTACGTTTATATCATTAAGCTATTTTTGTATAAACTTGAAATAACAAATTTATACGAACACAAATATCTAAGCTTTAAACATTTATACAAATTGTATTATACAAAAGTTATACAAATTCCGAATTATACAAACGTTTGAATTATACAAAACTAAAAAACAGAGTCCCGTAATTATAGCTAAAAGTAGATCGTTAATTGTAATTAAGACAAACTGTAGATACATTAACTATTTAACTGGTATATATTTATTTATTCGCATAATTTCTCTTTTTAAATTAATTAAAAAGGAAAATAAGTCTAATAAATTTTGTGGACCATATAGAAACCAAAGCACGTGCCACCTGATTCCTATAATTGAGCCGTCTCTATCTACTAAGCTCTTTACTAGCTAGTACGTTGTTATTTTATTTATAGAGACGACATTTGAGTGACTACACTATATTCACTTATAAACTAATCTCTAGTGTAACTTACTTTCTTGATTTGTGAGTTAGCTGAATTCCCCACCAGGTGGAAGAACCGAGTAAGGAAATAATATTACTCTCAAGATTCAATATTTAAACCAAATCTTTGTATTTTGTACGTGCAATATCCATTTTATTTTTCTAATAAGTAATAATTTTGTTGCAGCTGAATTCAAGTAGGCCGTTCCTTTTTTTTGTATGAATGCAAATGGTAACTGGTGGGATGGCGGAGAACAAGAGAAACCCCGATGAAGTCGTTGTTATAATCTCTGGAGATGAAGACAATTCTAAGAATAAAATATCACTTGATTCACCTTTAGCTTCACAAAATTCCACTAGTACAAGCATCACTAAATTACATCCCAAAATTCCAACAAATGAAACTCTTACAAGGAGGAAATCACTTGCAAGGTCAGTCTACTCCAAGCCCAAATCAAGATTTGGTGAACAATCTTTGGCTATTGATGGTAGCTTGTTTGACGAACTAGCTGAACAACAAACTACAGCGTCTCCTGATGGAAATAATGCTTCTTCTAGTGCAAAAGTGATGAGTCCCAATGGGATATCTTTGAAAGAAACAACAACGACAACGCCATTAATGGCATCACCGGGAGGAGTGGATGAACATGAAGAGATCTATAAGAAAGTCAACACAAGAAATAAAATGAAGTATAAAAAAGTAAAATTAAAAGTTTTTGTTGAATGGTTGGTATTTTGTCTCCTACTAGGGTGTTTGATTGCTAGCTTATTGGTTCATAAGCTGCAACGTTTGACAATGTGGGATTTGGAGATCTGGAAGTGGATTGTGCTTGTTATGGTCACATTTAGTGGCATGCTCGTCACAAAGTGGTTCATTCATTTCATTGTCTTGTTGATTGAATTGAACTTTTTGTTGAGGAAGAAGGTCTTATATTTTGTTTTTGGTTTGAAGAAGAGTGTTCAGGTTACTATTTGGTTGAGTTTGGTTCTTCTAACTTGGGTTCTGCTCTTTGCAAATGGGGTCAAACGGTCACAAATTACAAACAAGATCATCAATTACATTACTTGGACTATTGCTTCGTTGCTTGTCGGTGCATATTTATGGCTTTTTAAGACTTTTATGCTAAAAGTTTTGGCATCCTCCTTCCATGTAAACACATTCTTTGACAGGATTCAACGAGCTATTTTTCATCAATATATTCTGTTGACACTATCTGGTCCCCCAATTATGGATTCTACTCAGATGTTGGGAAGATCAAATAGTTCTGCCAGTCAACTTAGCTTGTGCAGAACAAAGAAGGGAAAAGATGGCAAGGCAAAGAAGGAAAAAAAGGAAAAGATTGATATAAATAAGCTTCACCAGATGAAGCGGGAGAAGGTCTCTGCATGGACCATGAAAACATTAATTGATGTAATATCTAATTCAGGACTGTCCACCATCTCTGGCTCTATCGGTGATACAGATTATGATAGAGATAATGAACAAGCAGATAAAGAAATCAACAATGAGGAGGAAGCGATTGCTGCTGCTGTTCACATATTTAAGAATGTTGCTCAACCTGGTTCCAAGTCTGTCATTTGTTATTTTTTTCTTTGTTACAGTCTTAATTTAATCATGTTATGAAACATTCTAAATTTAGTATGCCTTTCTTCACATGCATCGATCATGGCCTGTTATATATCTATTTTGTGTAGGTTCATTGATGAATATGATCTTAGGAGATTCATGATTAAAGAAGAGGTGGATATTGTGCTCCCCCTGATAGATGTGGCTGACACTGGACAGATCGATAGGAAAGCTTTGACAGAATGGGTGGTATGTTTCAGAACTTTGACTCAATTTTCTGGATTTGTCATGTTCAAGCTGTTGTAAAAGAACTTATCAATTCGTATTTGATTACTAGATTATCCATCCTCATATATATTATACAGATTGGAAGTAACAATAAAGAGGGCCTATTTACTGTTAGGTACACTAATATGAAAAAATCCAAGAGGGTCTAGAAGATTGTTGTAATATAATGTGGTAACTAGTGGAGTACCATGAGAACTATCTTTACTTTCACATTATTTTCCAGTGGAGAAGATTCTATAAGCATGTCATAAAGGGAACAAGTCTTCTAAGAAGTGGACGTACAAGGTTGGTTGTAGCGACAGATTTAGAATTTGGACGTAATAGGTTCTAAATTGCGAGAGTGAGAGCTGAAATGTACATCTAACAGTGTCTATACTTTCTTTTAGCTCATATATGTAGGCTTGAATTCAAAAATACCCTTGTGGTCCGGCCCTCCCTCTGATCCCACGCAAAACATGAGCTTAGTGCAATGGACTATCCTATTTAATTTTTTTCATATAGGGTTGACCCCAAAAGCATTGGGTTCGGCCAAACAGACAAACTTTTCGTGGGATCTGCCACTGATTGGTTTATAAGAACCACAACATGGCACTTCAAACTTGTACAATTCCCTCATTATTGACTTGAATAATTTAGAGAAAAATTGGATAATAAAAAGTGTTGAATCTCATAAACTTATACAATTCCCTCATGAATAACATATATAATATATTCACAGGACTGTGTTGGCATTTTATATGAGTGACATGCTCTATTTATCATGTAATTGTTGTGCAGGTTAAAGTATTTCAAGGACGTAAAGCTCTGTCACATGCTTTGAACGATACAAAAACCGCAGTGAGGCAATTGAACAAAATAGTGACAGGAATTCTGATTGTCATAATAATTATAATATGGCTCCTTTTGGTGGGAATAGCGACAACTAAAGTGATATTGTTTTTGTCTTCACAACTTGTGGTAGCTAGTTTTTTGTTTGGGAATACTTGCAAGTGTATATTTGAAGGTATTGTGTTTGTATTTGTGATGCATCCTTTTGATGTTGGAGATCGATGTGTCGTTGATGGCATTCAGGTAATTAATGACGACATCTTTTACTTTTCTGTTTCAGTTTCACATTTTCCTTATTTGTTGTTGCAACTTGCAAATCAACAGATGACAGTTGAAGAAATGAATATCTTAACAACAGTTTTCTTGAAGTTTGATAACGAAAAGTTATATTACCCAAATTCAGTCTTGGCCACCAAGCCAATCAGCAACTTCTACAGAAGTCCTGATATGAGTGATTCCTTCGAGTTCTCCATTGATTTCAGGACACGTCTTGAGAAGATAGGATCTTTAAAAGAAAAAATAAAGAAGTGAGTAAAGTGTTATTCTCATTTCTTTCTACTATTCAGTGTCATTTAATTCCTTAATTCTTCCAGCTATTTTTCCCCCAATGAATTACAGGTATTTAGAGAGAACATCCCAGTACTGGCATCCTAATCACAATGTCGTGGTAAAGGATATTGAAAATTTGAACAAGATAAAGATGGTATTGTTTTTCAATCATACTATGAACTTTCAGAACTTTGGAGAGAAGATTCGACGGAGAACTGAACTGATCCTGGAGATGAAGAAACTGTTTGAAGAGCTAAATATAAAATATGATCCTCTTACTCAGGAAGTTCATCTTGTTGAATCAAAGTAAATGACCTTAATTATCTCTATCTTACAATTATAAAGTATTACTTTTGTATGAGCTAATTCATTTTGCATGTTTGTCATAAGAAATTTCAGCCCTTGATTGATATAAATGTTAATAAAAAGCTGTTTATTTGTTTTGGGTGAGGATATGAGCTGTATTAGAAGATGTTAATCCGACGCCTCCTGAAGCCAAATGCTCAACATTCGATCGGTAATATGCATTTCTCATCCTTCCTTCTGTTGTTGATTATATTGTTGTATATTCAATTATATCCAGGGGGATTGAATTCAACCATCCTACTATTTTTGGTAAGCGGCTTCACATTTTACAATAAAAATAAATAAATAAAAAGTATTTTTCACAAGCAGCACCATATCTTAAAAATAAAAACAAATAAACTAAGTAATATAATTGTCACGACCCAAAAGCTCGAGTCATGATGATATCTATAAAATCCACCAGTAGATAAGCCGACCCATAGCCCAAAATGGCAAGTAACGGGCCCAGTGGGCAGATCCCTCAAAAACAGCAGAAAACAACTACATAACATGGAAATAAACAACGGAAGAAGAGAAGAAATGACATAAATATATACAACAATACATGATCCAATCCCACGACCTGGTGGACGATGGTACAAGCTCTAAAAATAAGCAAAATAAGTACAGGCTTGTCCCAAACACAAAAGACTAGCCAAAACTATATACATATGGAGATAAGTCAAACTAGGACGCCATCATCTCACCCTGTATCTCTGGAGGTCCCCGCTGCTGCACAAGATCAACGTTGTAGCCGATGCAGAGTCTACCATGAGTACCAAACAACAGGTACCCAGTAGGCATCATAGGACGATTTAGCATGGAAAGTAAATATATAATGAAATGCGAGGAATAAAATAGAGTCAAGGGGTTAGAAGAAAGGAACTATAGTGATAAGTCTTAATATGCGCCTCAATAATCTAGTAGAAATGGAACGATAATGTAAAGTAGCTAACTATAACCTAACAGGACCCTCATAAGCCCAAAAGGCACCTTGAAGAATCTAATAGAACTATAATGTTAGGCCTCAAACCCCCCTAATAGAAGTGTGTCTAGACTTGAACCATGACTAAAAGGTCGGTTAGGTCGCGAACCCGATTAAGCGACAAGCCAGGGCTCGAACCATAGCCAAGAAAATGGTCAGGACTTGAACCCGACTAAAGGACTCTGGAAAGTCTCACATCAACCAATTTACCCTAATCAGGGGAACATAATGGAACAGACCTCAACCCCGGCGCTACAAATGACTCACTCATGATCGAAACCCAAGCCCAATTCCAAATAGTCCAACAAGGTCCAAAATCACACCCAAATCTCACCAGGCCATAACATAGGGAGATTATGGATGAAAATTTAATAAGGGTATAGTTGTCATCAAACTAATTAAGGATTCACGCTATCATACTGAAGTCTGCTACATCACTTCATAAGGAGCTAAATTGTCTGAGCCGACGTCAGAGGATTTTCTGAGGCAAATGACTCCAAATAGCAGTTCTTTGACAATCACTAGTATAATCCTAGACTAAGACAAATAATATCTCACAAATGTCAATACCAGGCATAAAGAATCAACATGGCATGATTGGCATCACAGACAAGGTAAAACATGCTTAATTCCTTCAAAAACACCCAGAAATATAAACTAAAGCAACAATTATATTACCTAGACATGTATTATGCTAAAAACCCTCTCGAAATTAGCTAAACACCATGTAAATAGAAACACAACCATAGTCTAAGATTTGTAAGCCGTAGCCTACCTCGATGCCAATCACACACGCTCCTAAGTCTATCAAATAAGAGCTTTACCCTTTCAAACCAACTCTGATCACTGCTACGCTATCAATTTAATAATCATGGCATCGATATTATCGAAGCAATATCCAAATTGCATAATAAAATCATGGACCCAAAATAAAGTAAAAATGGTTTTGTGGGCCCCATGTGCGGAATTAAGAAACTAACTCCGTCAATGAGCCCCAACTAGCTCAAGAAACTTGTGCCTTAAAATTGTGCACAATCTGACCCAAATGAAGCCAAAATAGCCCACACAAGACAGGAGAATTAAAACCACCATTAAAGAGGTTAAAAGAGAGATTCAGGATGACAATTTACTACAATAACGAGTCCACAACGCTCCCCAACCACTTTAGCTCGAAGTCTCCTACAAAAACTAACAAATTGCACAAAAGATCAACTCAATCAAAGCTTAATAACTTAAGTTATCGAGTTGACAATATGGAACAAGTGAGCTGAAATTTGGGTTTGATATAATTAATAGAGATGAAAATCTTCATCGCTATCGTGAAGCCTAGGGACGTGACTACGTCCCTTAGAAAATCTAATTATCTCAATCGCAGAGGTCAACCTTCTCAGATTGCTCATCATGACCGCGACAAGAAGGCCATGCGACCCCGATGAGTAGGTATAGTGTCCTTCGCGGTAGAGGTCACAATCATGGAGGCCTGTATAGCGTTAGCGATGATGCATTTCACCTGAACTAGATTTTTGGCACCAACTAATCATCAAGTTCAACAATTCTTCGACGGAGTGCTTAAAGTTCGTTCGGAAACCCTTCACGGAAATGAACTATTCCACCCCACAAAATTTGTCATTCCGGACTCAATAGAGATGTTGAAACTTCCAACGGAGGTCATCTTGATAAAAAATTGGGTCCCACACCCAAGGCTTCATTTTAGCCATAAGCAACAAGGCTGCTCAAAATGAGCCAGAAAGCCTTGGGACCTAAACCAATGGTCCATTTAGAACATACTCCTCGTTACAAAACTAACAAAACCCTCAGAACTGCAATCTAAGGTCACTTACTTGAAGTATTGACTGAAATCATTCGTTCAAACGAATGACTAGGTGACCAATATGTCAGTCCCAATAAGTCATAAATGAGTTGGGATCGCCATAGGAAAGCTCTAAATGCCAAAAATACACATATAGGGAGAAAATGACCTAGAGGATCATTACAAAATCATCTACTAAAAGGAATTTCGTCCTCAAAAGAAAAGGGTCAAGAAGTACCTAAAGTCTTGAATAGGTGGGGATACTAAACTCGCATCTCATGCTCGGTCTCCCAGGTAGCTTCCTTGACTGGACGATGTCTCCACTGAACCTTAATTACAAGAATGGATCTTGAACCCAATCTCACATCTCTAGCTAAAATAGAAATTGCTCCTGCACAAAAGGTCAAACGATCATCCAACTGAATTGAGTCATATCATAGCATATGAGACTGACTAGGAACATACCGGGAAGCATAGAAACATGGAAAATCGGATGAATAGATGAAAATGTAGGAGGTCAAGCCAACTCATAAACAGCATCACCAACGGCTCAAAGAATCTCAAATGACCATATATACATGGGGCTAAGCTTGCCCTGCCTCTCGAATTTTATCACACCCTTCATGGGCGATACTTAAAGAAACACCGAGTTACCAAAACTTCAAATCGCAAAGACCGATGCGTATGGTTACTATAATTCTCATCCCTACTTTATGCTAATCTAAGCCTATCTTAAATCACTCGAACTCTATCCAATGCCTCCTGAAGCAAGTCAGTACCATGCGGCCTCATCTCTGAAGCCTCAAACCAACCAATCGAAAATTGACAACAACTACCATATACGGCCTCGAATGTTAGTTATCGTTATATACAAACTTTACTAAGGCTAAAAATTGATCCCATAACCTCCATAATCACCACCAGCTCTCAAATGCTTGTCCCTCATCTACTATCAACACAAACAATGAGACACGTAGTTTATAATATCTCTCCTCAGACCACTCCACTATTAATTTTGTTTCAAATTGTGATACATATTCACTGCGCCCTTATGGATACAATATCTAGAGTCATGAGCCTAGAAAATAATCAACTATATCAAGTCCCCAAATCTAGGAATGCAAATATAACCATCAAACCTCATAATATTATGTGCATCTAAGGTTACCTTTCCGATGTCACCTTGCAACACCCGATCTCGAATAACTACTAAGGTATCATTCCTAAACTATTGACCATAAATTTTCTCCAACAATGATGATTGTACTCCAACATAGGCTAGAATTTTCCTAGAATCTTTACTATCAAGGTGAATCATCCTATTGGCTAAAGACTGAACGTCTAAAGCCTAAGGTTGATCTGAATCATAGAGGAAGGTTAGACTACCCATACTCACCATTTGGCTGAAGGCATTTGCTACCACATTTGTGTTTCCCGGATGGTATAAAATAGAGAGGTCATAACCCTTCAAGAGCTCAATCCATGTTATCTTGAATTAAGGTCTTTCTGGCTCATAATGGACTACAAAATCCAATGATCGGTATATATTTCACATCGAATCCCATAAAAGTAATGCCTCTAAATATTAAGCACAAAAGCTACCGCCACCAACTTTAAGTCAAGAGTGGGGTAGTTTCACTCATGCACCTTAAGCTACCTCGACGCATATGTAATCATACAAGCCTGTTGAATTTATACATAACCTAAACAGACAACAGATGCATCACAATATACTATGAAGCCATCACCGTAAACTAGAAGAGTCAGAATATGAGTTGTAGTCATCAACTCCTTAAGCTTATGAAAGTTCAACTTACACTAATCTGACCACTCAAAAGGAACATCAAGACAAGTCAATTGAGTCGAAGGTGCTGCAGTTAAAAAAAGAGTCTCTCAACAAACCATCTGTATTAGCGTGCTAACCCAATGAAGCTCCAAATCTCAGTAACTGAGGTTAGCCTAGCCAAATCCTGAATAACCTCAATCTTCTCCGGGTCAACCATAATGCCATCCTTAAACATCACGTTCCCAAAGAATGCTATAGACTCAAGAAAAAATTCACACTTTGAGAACTTGGTAGAAAGCTGTTAATCTCTCAAAGTTTGGAGCATAGTCCTCAATTGTTGCTCGTGCTCCTCCATGCTCTGCGATTATACAAGGATGAAATCAA